TAAAACTCAAAAATAAGTCATCTAAATCCTATCGCAAGGTAAAATAAATGGGTAACAAATGTTGGTGCTAAAAAGCCCCAGGCAACTTGTTCAAGGTCACCCAAGTAACCAGTGGACATATATATACGAGGGGAAAAAAACAACAAGGGCTCCCAACCATAACTTTTCTCTCCTTCGGAGTGGTGGCTACTCATGATGCAAATGTCCTGGAGGCACACAGGCCCTGCACAAAGCAGATCACATGGTATGTCCCTCTCAGGCCTCACTCCCAACATTTTTATACAGGTAAAATTGGATCTAAATTAGCCACGTGGCTAACAGGGGCATCTCTACCTTCCCATGCCTTCCTGACTAGAAAATAGGGTGGGGAAATGAGGGAACAAGAGGAACAGTTTCCCTAAGAAAAGCAAATGTATGGAAAGCTTAAGCTTCCTTTTTCCAGTTTTGACCAGGTAAACTACTCACTCCTCCTTTGAGAGCACCTAGTGCAGAGCTTGGCACACAACAGGAGTTCAAAAATGCTACCTTCATCCTCCCGGCTCTCCCAGCCCAAGAGCACCCAGGCCAGCGAGACTGCTCGGGCGTGTCACAGTCTGGGGAAACCTAGAGGCTGAGTGCAGAGAAGTAAGTTCTGAAGGGACCAGATCTGAAGGGACCAGAATCAATTCTAAAGTCCCCTGTATACTTAGTGATCTGGAAAAGAATGGGAATTATACTGTAAGGATGTGAGGGGATAATTCTGAAGGAAAACTGAAGTCCTAAAAAACAAGTCAAGAGAAAAACACAGATGAGTATTTTTAAGAAGCACAGACTCCAAACATCAATAATAGAGATGTAAATACTTCAGAGTTATAGAACATCAAACTACTATTTCATAAAGAGCAACCACATGACAAAAATACTCAAACCAAGCCTGAAGCTTTCCTTGGCCTTGGAAGGTCATGAGACTTTTCTGGCCACAACGAGGAATGTTTTTAGTGAGAGAGAAAAAAAGAACTTCCAGACCTCTAGGTGGCTACCATTTTTAAACTACTCCTCTCCCTTAACTATGTGGTCAAATGATGTCTAGTTGTTACGTAAGTCACATCAACAGCCGGACAGTACTGAACATCCTTTGAACTCTAACTCCCATTTTTCTATGACAATTTTCCCAACCTTCCTTTGAAGTCTGGCACTGAGTAGTCAACAGCAGCTAACTAATGTGTTATCATGTGACACTGTGTAAAATAGTATGGCAAAGTCAGATTTTTTTTTCCTTTCAGTAATCCTGTGCTATTGAAAAATAGCATAATTATTTTAATGATGTACTTGGAAAAAGGATTATCTACAACAGAAAGTCACAGGGGTAACACTAATTAAAAGGTGCATCAATTTATTAGTAACCATGAATCTTCCAGAGCCTAAATGCATTAATTTTACCCGGTATCAGCAAAGGTTGTTTCATATTATACATATAACCAGCAAAGAATGAACATAAGAGTGCCAGTCTGGCTTTTCTGTCATGAAAAACAAACTTAACAGTGACACAGAAGGCAATCGAGACAAAAATACAAAACCGATATTACTATCTCATTCGCTGTATCAACAAATATTTATTGAGCACCTATGTATACCAGGCACTGGTCAATAAACCAGGTACTATTAACCTCATATAAACCTCAAGGGCAAGAGAAAGACATTAAACGATTAAATAATAACGTGTAATTATAAACTGTGGTAAATATTAAGAAGGAAAAGATGATTAGGCTATGAAGGAGAAAATAAAAGGGCTCCAATTTAAATGATGTTAAGGTGGCCTTGTCAGAGAAGATCTTTATAAGAAAGGATGTTTGGGCTAGCGTCCAAGGATGAGAAGTTGCTCAAGGAGATGGTCCTAAAATAGAGAGAAGAACAGCAGGAGCAAGGGCCCTGAGGCAAGTCTGCTGGAGAATTGGCCAAGGTGCTGGCAAGAGATGCAGATGGGGCGCAAGGACCGAATCACGTGGGGCTTCGACGGCATGTTGAGGATTTTGTATCTTATCCCCAAAATAAATGTGTTTCCTGAAAGCCTTGAAAACTTGAAAACAGTAAGTCACTTTTTTTTTCTTTCTCAGGTTGCTGGTGGGAAAACAGACTGGAAGGGGTGCAGAGTGTGTGCAGGAGGCACCTCACCAGGGAAAGAGAATACAGTGTAGTGGCTTGCGTCAGGATGGAAGCATAGTGGAGACTGAAAAACAGACAGGTTTGAAAGAGATTTTGCAAGATAAATGGACAGCAGGACTTTGTGATGGACTGGTTTGGTTGGGCTGCAAGAAAAGAAAGTAGAATGAGCTACTCGTTGGATGGATGAGATGAAAAATAGAGGAGGAACAGTTCAAAAATTTGGGTGATCAAGAGCTCAATTCTGGAGAAGTTTGAGATGTTGCCGCCATTTATTGGCTGTCTAAGATGTGCCAGGCACTATATTAGACGTTCTATTCACCACAGCATCGCTTTTAGTAGAAGTATTCTCATTTTCCAGAAAGCAAACTGTAGATCAGAGATTGAAGCAAGCAAGCATGGCTACATTTACTCACCTCTAAAGTAACAAAGTCTGGCTGGCTGCAGGGTAAACATTCTTTCCACTATACAGAGTACTTAGAAACTATCTCTATACTTTGAATTTTGAATTCTAGTTAGGGTTGGAGTAAGCTAGCATCCAAGGAGAGTAAATAGGCATTACATTATTTTTAAAATCCAAATCCTCAGATTTATGATGCATAGTGTTTTTCTACCCAATTCCCATCCCCACTTCATTTTTGCCTGCAAAGAGTTTTGCAATGTTTAGAGCACTAGCAAGATACCTAAGACCTTAATGTTTTACAACAAATGAGCAAAGCCATTATGCCAGGAATCAACCATGATGAAAAGGGCAACAATATCTTGCAGCAAACAGGACTTTTTACACCCAAGTCGTTATATACGTCAACATAAGACAGATCAATTAATGAGTGAGAAACCCTGAAAAACTAATCATTTCTCAAAATGCAATGCATTCAAGTCAAAAATTGATGCAAGTCACCAAGTACAAGAGGCTACAAAAACCAAGCACTGAAAATTCAGGCTAAAAAGTTGAAACCTAAAAAAAATAACAGAAGGCAAAAAGAAAGGATACCACAACTGTGAAGAATTTTAAATCTGCAATTCCCAAATATCTCAACCAAATGTCAAATGCAGTAAACCCGCACCCTAAAAACTTAAACCTTCACTCTTCTTTGTAACTGCTTTTTTCCCTGCAGCACATTGACATTTCTGCAAACTGAAATGCCCTTCCTGTCTGCATAGACTCATGATTTGCTCCCTCTCAGGGCTCTCTACTGAAGCCCAGAAATAAAGTTTGATCAATGAACCCAAAAAGAACTCAATGCATTACTGACCATTGTGTCTATTATGGAAAGTACCACCTGGAGACTCTTAAAAGGAGGAAGAATTGAGGAAGGGGGGAGATTTTTGAAAGGTTTTATCATCTACATTACAAATTATATTTGGTTGCGACTGATCCTTCAATAGAATAACATTACATTATGTTCAGTTTTCTTAAAGTGGGGTATGGTCACGTATAATTTTGATGGTTTTGGAAGAGTTCCCCATGGAGATAAATAAAATTAAAAGTACCATTAGTATGTCTGCTAAAAGATAACACTCACACAAACCACTTCCCCAAATGATAATGCTGTGTCCTGCGCCCTGATTCTTGTGTCCACCTGGCACCTCTCCCGCAGAGGGGTGGCTGGCATTCACTACTGCCTCATCCAGGCAAAGGACAGGATGTTGAAAATCCATTAAGAACGTTTCCCATTTTCTGTTCCTTCATAACATGATCGCAACTCCTGGCAACCCCAAGATGAAAGACTTTTAAAAATTTTTAATTTAAAAAAGAAAAAAGAAAACCTGGGCCCCTCCCCCCACCAGAATGAGTGGTTAACCCAAAGAACAGAAAAGCAGAGATGTATACATATTTAATGATACTTCCTGGGGACAATACAGATCTAATGAATTGCTGAGCCACAATCTGCTGGAAAATCCATGCATGTTCGTCCCTGCTGTCACCAGGCTGAAGAATTTTTAAAAATGCGATGCTTTGATGTATTGATGGGGCTAACCTGACAGGTTTAAGTCATCTATGAAACGTGCTTTGCATTTATTTCCCTTCTAAATCCCTAAAGATCAGGAGCAGTATTGACCTGCAATTATGTCCTACGACTGCACTGCTCAAGATGCCATTTGAAGCTGGGAAAGTAGTGGTTGGGCAACACCAGGCGGCTCTGTGATGCTAAAATAACAACGCAACACTCGGTTATGAACCCAGGTACTCGGCTTGTATGACCCGGTGCCGCACAAGGACCCACATTCAAAGCTCGCGTCCCTTAAAGTTGCATCTTATCAGGCTTTCTGCGATATACCTTCTCAAAGTTTCTAGTCTGCAAAACAGAATTACTTTGAAAGTCCTCTCTTCTGGACTCCCCTCCCCAGAGGGATTGGCGGCAAGGGGAATAGGAACGCAGAATGGTTAACAGGCCAAATAAAATTTAAAAACCCATAAACCAATCTTTTTTTTCCAGAGGAAAAAATAAGCGTTCACCAAACCGCCACCCGGCAAACGAGCATCCGATTTCCATCTGGAGAACAAAATATTAAAGAAGCCAGACATGCAATTCCCTTCCCAACAAAAGTGGCCTCTAAACTCCCTTGCCAAGGACACTGGGAGGAAGCAGAAAAGCAACGAACAAGCTCGTACTTTTCAGTCCCCGGCGCGTGTGTGCCGCGGGGAGAAGGCGCAAAGGGTGACACCAGGGAAAAGGTGAACGCGGAGGAAGTGGGGCGCCGCGCGGGAGCGGGGTGGCGGAGAACGGACCAGGGAACCCGAGGTGCCGAGAGGGGAGAAGGGGTGCGGAAGGAGGACGCCCGAGGCTCCAGGAGAGGAGGGAGGGGTCCCAAGCGCTGCCCAGAAATCGCCGCGGCCAAGTAAAGTTAATACTTACTCAGTTTCGCAACTGCGCCGCCCCCGCAGGCCGCCGGCGGGGGAGCTCTGGACGCGGCGGCGCCCGGAGCCCGGCGGCCGCCCAGCGCCCGTCCCCGCGCCGCGCAGCCCCGCGCCACCCTCCCCGGCGCTCCACGGGCCGCGCGCCGCGCACCGGCTGGAGGCCCCGGCTCCCCGGCGCGCCTTGCTCGCTCACCTCCCCGGCCGGCGCTAGGTGAGTGTGGACGCCCCTGGCGGAGTGCGGGGTGCGCGAGCGCTCGGGCAGCTGCAGAGCCGCCAAGGGAGCCGCCCCCAGCGCAGCCGCCGCCGCCGCGGGCGGGCGGGCGAGGCTTGGCGAGGCGCGGGGCGGCGGACGCCGAGCGAGGAGCGGCGCGGGGCGCGGGGAGTGGGGCGAGCGCGGCAGCGGAGTTGGCGGCCGGCTCGCTCCCGCGGCCGGTGCCTCTGGGCTCGGGGCCGGGCTGGGGGCCGGGCCGGGCCGGGCGGCCGGGGGCTCCGCCCCTTCGCCGGGCCGCGGCGGAGCGCGCGAGAGGAGCTGCGCGGGGGCGCCCCCCTCGGCCGGGCGCTCGGGTTACAGCCGCCGCTCCCCGCTCCCCCGCCCGCCGGCGCCGGGGGAGACAGTGTAACGGAACTGGGGCGCGGCGCTGCATTGTGGGAGCCCCCAGCGCGGCCGGCGGGCGCGGCGCGACCCTCGGGCCCACGGGCCAGGCCCGCCCGGCCCCTGGCACGCCCCCGCGGCCGCTCGGCCTTAGACACACCGCGGCCTGGGGACCCGAAAGCCGGACGTGGTGAGAGGACCAGAGCGAGCAAAATCTTCCATAGCCCGGGGCTGAGACTCGTAAAACTGCCCTCTACGGTCACCCCGGAAAGTAGGAGGCTTTTTCCGCAGACGGAAAAAAAATTAAAAAGAGCCTTTCCATCCCCCGAGGACTGGGTTTGAATTGCTTTTCATCTCGAGTGGTTGTGATTCAGCGTCCCTCTTAGCAGCAGGCAATGACAGAGGCAGGAGGGGGGGAGGAAAAAAAGACAAAAAAATAGCGAATGAATCAGACGGACGTGAGTAACTAAAGTTTAGAAGGAGCTGGGCTGACATTCAGAAGAACGTGTCTCCCTGCCCCCACCTCTAAAAATAGCAGATAATCAAGGAAGGAAACCAGTACTTTCATCTGGAAATGCAGATAATGTATGTTGTTTTCACTATTTCACTTTTTCTTTTTTAATGGCATGCAGTTAATCAGGTCACTGGACAAAATTCAGTCTTTGGTCCAGGCTTGTGCTCACACATGCCCACAGTTCAGCAACAGCTATTAACTTGGAAAGAGATGGGGGTGCAGATAATGCATGAGATAGAAGAAAAAATTGCAATTATGAAATGTCCTCCCCTCCTGTGAATTCTCTAGACACTTGCTTTTTTTTTTAATCATCAAAACAAGGGTATTAAATTTGAAGCACAACTTGTTACAGCTCATCTGACTCAGAACCTGATTCGTTTTGTTTTGAGTTTGGGGTTTTTGGCTCTTTGTTTCTTGCTCTTGTTTTTTGACCTTTAGTTATTCCACAGCTCATTAATTCCTCTGCCTCGCAGGTGGACTGAGAAGAGAGATGCTAAGACTTTTTGTCAAATTTGTCAAACCAACATTTGGAGGATTTGAGAAGAGTTTTCTGTGATCCAAATGGAAAACCTAAGGGAATATGATTTAAAGATTAATCTGTAGGACATGGATCCTCCCTTAACCCTACTAGATTCTTTTCAAAGGAGTTGTCAAGACCTAAGGTGAATGTTTCCTAACCTCTCATTCCCTTGTCAACCTTTCACTCCACTGAACAACATCAGTCACTGCCTAATTGCCAAATCTAATGGAAAAATTTAATCCTCATCTTGTCGTTCCCTTTGTGGCATTTGCCAGTGTTGACCTCTCCTTCCTTCTTAGAATTTTCCTCTTTTCCTTTGCTGTGATAGTCATCCCTGTTTTGTGGAAGTCTTGAAATGGGTTAGTGATAGCAGGCAGGAGTGTGGCTTTTGTTGAACCAGGATTCAGGATCTTACTGAGTAGCTGACCCCTAGTCCAGTTTCTGTGGATCACCAGGAGAAGCCAGACCTCAATTTTACCACTCGCCAGAGGCGAACAAGTTGCTAGACTCAGGACAACCGTCATGTGACCAACATTTAAATTTACTGTGATTGAATAACCATATTAACCATTTAGGAGAAACCCTTCCTAAAATCCAGGCACCTGTTTAGATATCCTCCCCTCCACACTACAGCTTGCCTTAGTGGTGGCTGCCAATATCGGTGTATTTGCCTCCATCCAGTGCTGAGTAAACCCAGAAAAATTTCAACTCTGCCTCAGCCCATTTGGTTAATGCATTCTTTTTTCAGAGTACAGTACAATTTGCTTTAACCTTTCTTAGCTGTAATCACATCCCTGTTCAGCCTTCCTGAGATCACACCAAATGTCCTTGATGGAATTTGTAAACAACCCTTACTTCTGGTTTCTAATGATATTCCCAGAAAGGTGCATAACTAGAGTCAGTGAGTATTCATGCACTTCAAACCCTGTCATATAATAAGATTTGATTTTTAAGAAAACAACTAGAAAATGGATTCAAAAAAGAGGCTAATCCAAAGGGAAAGACTAATGGGGAGAGCAGTGGGAATGAAAGGGAGGGGGAGATGTGTTAGGAACTATGCATTAGTTTCCCATTGCTACTGTAACAAATTACCACAAACTTCGTAGCTAAAAACCATAAGAATTTATTACCTTATGATCCCAGAAGTCAGAAATCTAAAATCAAGGTGTGGGCTCTGTTCCTTCTGGAGGCTCAAAGGGAGAATCCGTTTCCTTGACTTTCTGGCTTCTAGATGCCGTCTGCATTCTTGGCTTGAGGCCTCCTTCCTCTGCGTTCAAGGCCGAGAGTACAGCATCTTCAAATATCTCTCACCTCTGCTTCTTGTTGAAGGGGACATCTCTTTCTCCGAGAATAGGAATTGGTTTAGATATGTTTCTAGCCACATATGTGATGAACTGACTTGAACCGAATTACTTGTGGGAATAGATGACAGGTGACTTCGTTCCTTGCCAAGTCGTCATTGGGATAACTGACTTTATAAGATTGCTGAAGCAGTGGCTTGTTGCTTCAACTAAATCTGTGTCAATCTGGTAACCCATGTAACTGAAACCAAGGTGTTAGCACACTAAGAAAACCTAGCTTACCTCTGCAGTTCATACGGGTAAGTCCCTTTCTCTGGAAATCCCTCCAACTCTTCTATGCTATCCAGTGGAGCCATATTGCCAAGTTTGAGAATTTTGTGTCTAGCTGGGAAGACGGTTGTTCCATGCTCAGTACGGCTCATGGAACACGGTTGTGACTACATTCTAGACCAGCCAAGAATGTACCCAGAAAGAGGTTGTCAGTGAGTCAAAATCCATCCAGGGCAAAGTGTTGGGAAATCCCTTCATGAGGACATCTGGGTGGCCATAAAAACGAAAATGTTAAAACAAATAGGTGTGTAGTACTGGCGGGAATAAGTTGTAGACTTCTGAGTATAACATAAAGTCTCTATTATCTGTCCCCATCTGTCTTTCCTCCTCTCCCCCACTTTTCCCAGTCTGTGTTTCACCCATGATAAACTGCTGGTTCAGGTCTCTGAACCACTTCTCAGTACTCTCATCACATTACCCTGAAATTGCTTTTTTACTTGTGAAGCCCTCACCATCCTTTTGTAACCTCAGCCCTACCCACTTCTGAAAGCTAGAGATGATGTATTCATCTCTATCCTTGGTGCCTGACAAAGGGCTTGGCTCCGACCAGGATCTCAGTTAATATTAGTTGAAATAACAATTAAATGAATAAATGACAATATAAATTGAAAAAAACTAATGTCACCTACTCCCCTCCCCTGTTACACTTTTCTTTCCTCTTCTTCCTTCTAACATATAACTCACTGGGATTTCCATTCTTCTTTTTTCACTTAATAACATCACTTTTAAAATAAACATAGTAAACTATGGTACTGTGCTTCGTTCTGGGATTATAAAAATGAACATGACATAATCTGGACCTTCTGTGAGCTCGACATCTATCTAAGGAAACTTGCTAAAAAAAGAAAATGAGGCAGATAATGCTGGCCGCCTCTCCCACTCCTTTCTCCCCTTCCTCCTTAGTAATAGAAACCTGATTTTGTGCCCAGCTGAAAAAGTTTATTTCACAACCTCCTTTGCAGATGAGAATTACTAAGTAGAGACCAATGGTAAGTGGATAGAAGTTGTTACTTGGGACTCCCAGAAAAATTCCTTAGTGTGCTAGCAGTTGGGTATTGACAGAGCTGACTCAGTCCTATTCCTTCTTGGAACATGGATGTGATAGCTGGAGCGATGGCAACAATCTTGTGGCATCAAGACTACTTCAAAGCCCAAAGTCATATGCTAAGGAAGACAGCAGAAAGATGAAAAAAGCCATCCTGAGAACTCCGATCTCCCTAACTTTGAATTTGTTTATGTGAGAGGAAAATAGCAGGTCCCTTACTGATAGCCAAACACAATTGCCAACTAGTACAAGTAATTATAATATGATGGAATAAGAGGTCTAAAGGAGGTATATGTATAGTTCTTTGGGTGTACATTTAAAGAAAGGGTGAATTTTGCCTGAGGAAAAGGAGATTGGGAAAGACTTCCCCAGGGGATGACTTAAAAGATGTATTCACTAGGCTGGGAAAGATGGGATTTCAGAGGAAATAGTATTATGCTGATAGTCCAGATTATTGTTGTTTGTGATAAAGATTATGGGCTGGGCATGGTGGTTCACACTGTAATCCTAGCCCTCTGGGAGGCCGAGGCGGGAGGATCACTTGAGGTCAGGATTTCAAGACTAGCCTGAGCAAGAATGATACCCTGTCTCTACAAAAAATAGAAAAATTAGCCGGGCGTGGTGTCATGCGCCTATAGTCACAGCTACTCAGGAGGCTGAGGCAGGAGGATAGCTTGAGCCCAGCAATTTGAGGTTGTAGTGAGCTATGATGACACAACTGCACTCTAGCCAGGGC